ATGAAGCCTATTATGACCCTATGGTCGCTTGACCTCATTCCGCTCAAGTATGTTTAGAGGTTGTGATACGTTATTAAATAATACGCATTGCGAAATTATAACTTTATTTAATAGAAGTGCGACCCTAACAGAGGCCACAACATCTTAGTCTTCATATCTTTATTTAATAGGTTTTATTATAGAAATCGGCTGATAGTGTTAGCAGGCAAGATTAAATTTGTTATAAAGCAGTGCCTTAGTCATTCCACGGAAGAGACCTCATTTGCCAATCCAACATGTGAATTGCCACTATACTTGGTTATTTTAATTTATATTTTGGATTGCGATTTCGGCAAAGCGGTTTTGAGAATACTCAAATTCTGCGTAATGTTCGTATTATCTTTGTATAGATTCAGGTAAAAACGAGACCAAACCAATTCTCAACTGTTAGGAAGGCAGATTATACACTTTTTTAGATTTTGACTCTGCTATCAAGCGTTGATTTTTGTCCTTCTGAGTCCTTGTGCCCGGATTCATGTGCTATTTACATGCCGGAGTCTAAGTTACTCTTAATTTTTCTCTTGCATGCCACATTTCATTTGACTTTTGTATATGTTCTTTCGGATCTAAGATCCTCTGAGCCTAATTATCTTTCTAATCAGCCCTAATTGAATTCCTACCTTGCTTTTGATTTTTTTATTAATTATTTTAAAAGAACGTTATAATTTGCTTTTCCTTTCTACTCGCATCCAATTTATCCATTTAATTCTGGTATAGCTATAATGGGAGTTACCAGATTCTGTAGCTCCATCGACATGGGCAACCAGTGTCAATACTTACCCTTTCCTGACCATGATCGCATCTATCGGGCATGCATCTTCACTTGTTCTTTGGATGGCTGCAACAGTGCTAGCCGCTTTGGGCCTGGAGCAAACAACACTGGCGGTGGTCTAAATGTCCTGGCAACTGCTTTTGTTTTGGTCACTCTTCTCCTAGTCTTGAAATAAGGGTACTTCTTGACATCTTGACCCTCAGAGACACCTTCCATTTACAGTAATAGTATTTTTCTATTTTCGTACCGGTCTCTGACTTTGGTCATTGAATTTATCAAAATTTGTGCCAAGTAGGAACAGAGTAGGCATAGCTATACATATTTTGCCGCAGATTTCAAACCAAGGTTCCACTTGTATTGGAAATACATTGTGCCTTTTGCCTTCTCTTCGAGAAGTTGGGATTGTTATTAAAATGCCTTTTCTCTTATTTTGGGATAAAATCCCATCTCTTATCCATTTTTATAGTAAAACTCACTTCTCATTTCAAATCAACCTATTCACTCAGATCCACTAAATCTCCTTTTAGATGGTTTACTTGAGTCGCGGGATCAGGCGTTATATCAACTTTCAAGTATTTTGAGTATTTTATACTCAAACTGTTCCTCTTTGTATTACTAACCTCATAGTTTTATTTTATTGACTATTCTACCTTTTTCGAGTTTTTACTCTAACGTCTTATCACTTTTTTTCTCTTTTCTTAAGATGCTAGCTTGGTCCATGATTAGTGGTATCCATTTTCATACACGTTTTATTCAAAAACATATGATTATGATACTAACGTTTGGAACCGTTCATAATCAATTGGCTATTGAAAGCACAATATTCTGTAATAATAAAACTACAGTGAGGTAGAACTAAATCATGGAAAATCCCGCTAAATCGATATAAAACGCAGCTAACGTCTACTACATAAGCAGGTCTTCCCTGCAATTTATCATGGTTAAAGAATTACTGCTTCTTATCCACTCGTAATGAGATATTTTGGAATGGCTTCAACATCTTTATTATTGCATTTTTATGTAATCGCAAGCATATACTTGTACTTAAGATATTTTCTCACATTAGCTGCCTATACTTTCCTTGAATTTCATTCTTGACTCGTAACCCGATGGCGCTAGGTTGTGAACGGTCCTACTTTAGCTCAAGCCCCGCTGGAGGTAAAAATCAAACTCGTGTATGACCTAGATTGCTGCCCATCCTGGATACATTGCAAGGTGAAACTTTCCCCTTTAATTAATATTGAGATAAAAGCTTTCAATTTCTTCTTTACAGTATTGACTTTTAGTACTCCATCGAAGTAATCACTGTCTTTTAATCACTTATCCCTAGAGTTATTCTTTTTAGTCGACTTAATACAAAGATATTATTAGACTGCTTCAGGGATCATATTTTGTTCTACTTTTTTACTTCGTAATCAATTATAATAACCAACAATAAAATTATTTGCAGTCTTTTTCTTACTGTACCGAATATCCTCATACATAAATATATACTTGCTAAATCCTAAACAAGTGCTCTTCACCTCTTCGATTCCACTTGTCCAGACTTGCCGATGGAGCTGAACTTCGACTTGTTGCATTAAACTATTAAAGCTGATTCGTCCTAAATACTCAAATAATTTCTATTTAAAGATCATACACTCCTTGCAAACACTTAATTGATAAATCAAGATGGCTTAGTTGAAATTCGAAGAATTTCATTTCAAAGGTAGGGCCAATTATATAGGTATTTTATGCACAATGAAAGTCTTCTTAATCTTATCGCCAACACCATTGTGTAAACCATAGAGTCACTTCGGTTTGGTTAATATCTCTCATTTGTACTCGATGGCAAGATTGAATGTTATAATGTATACTGGTACTCTAGGACAGCCATTTTGATATAGGTTCGCAAACAATTCCCTTACTACATTTAACATTGATGTGATCACAACTACATGAGCTTAAGCTATTAGAGATAGGCTTTCATTGGCAAGTTGATAATATATGCGTACGGACACTACCAATCCCAGGGCTGGTAAATAGTTGGAATGAAATTTAAGCCTTTATACCCAGCTGGTCCTTAATAAAATCTGGATCATAAAAAAATTGGAATATTTATTTCGTTTGTATTGAGCTGCGCTGCTTACTTTTAAATAAGTTGCCTATGCTCTAGTAAATTCTTCGAGATAGCTATTTATCAATGGGATTCGCAAAGATTACGAGAACGGTAAAAATGTGTTCTTATTAGTTTCAATATGTACATTTGTAGGACAAAACTCGACTACTAGATGTACTGCTTACAGCAAAGTGATTAAGGTCCGATAGTTGAAGTTACCCACTAAAGTATGAGTGGCTTTGATAGAATTGAATTTCACTTTTCCTTACCTCCTATACGTTATAATTATCTATGGAGGACTCCAGCTTCAACAATTTCTAAATATCGTCAGTACCCTTGGCCCATAGGTGATATTCAAGACCTACTGGTAGTATCGAAACCTATTCCATACTAATATA